CGAAAACCAGAAGCGGATCGCCACCGTACACATAGCAAGGATCCAGACAACCTTGGAAAATGCAACAGAAGCCACTCTCCATCGTCTTGCCTTCCCAACTGAGCCAGCACGCGACTGTCAGAATGGACCCAATAGGCCCCATGATTCACAAGCCGGTACGAGCCTCCTGACTAATCGACCAGCTTGGAACGGCCCAACCCGAGCTCTCTGTAAGTAAAAAAGGTGGAGGCCTCGCCCATTCATCCTTCCAGAGCGGACGAACGGACAGCCAATGATGAAGACTTGCACATCTCCATTCGATCGCTCGAGCACCCCGATCGAGCGAACACATTCAATTTAATGCCCTTATTCATTCGGCCTAGCCTACCGAGCGGACACCGCGGTAACAAACACCTCATCTCTCAGTCGACAAGACGTACCGAACGAGCTCGTGAGCCCCCGAAGCCTCGTTGTCTATCCCTTCGGCCCTTCACACCGATCGGGCACACCACTCAAATGATGTTATACTCCGGATCAGTAATGGATACCGAACGACCTCGACCAAAGATCACTTGGAACGATCGGATCAGCCACACCAACAACCGGTCATCCAGAAAGGAAGACCGAGCGCCCCTCGATCACTTCCTACTCTCTGACTTCAGAAACTCTTAACTCAGAGAGTGGGGTGCAAACTGTTAGGGCCAAAAATCGTCCTTGGCCCAAATAGAAAAACGATCCTGACAGTGAAGGAGAAGCCAAGCCTAATCCCGATGCGACCCAATCCGGACCCATTTGATACAAGATACAACCAGCCCAAACCACCTGGGCACGAGCCTCCTAATCCCAGTCCATTCTCTAGGTCCATGAACGAGTCTAGAGCCCACGACCCCCTTAGAATATTTTCCTATTCCTGAACAATCTCTTATTCGAGGTCACCTTCTTGTTCAGAACCATTTCCTACTCGAAGTTACTTTCCTAATCAGGATCACCTTCTTATCCGGACACTGGTAAGACAGCTTACCATGACCCTAATTCTTCTAGGGTTTGCATCAGAGTCACACTAGGACTCCTACTCCCACCAGGATTGGGAGACCGGATAATCGCTATATAAACAAAGGTCAGCCCTCTCACAAAGGAGACTACATTACACCTTCACACCCGAAGCTCCTACTTGAGAGCTTCACATCACTGCCGTAGTCACAGTATCTGACTAGACTTTCGGTAACCTCTCTACTCCCTAGCCCTCACTATACTAGCCTCTTTCAACCTTGCTGACTTGAGCGTCGGAGTGCCTATGGCAAACACTACCTCGGTGTTTCCCGTTCGCTTCACGCGTTTGTTTTTCTACGTGTGCAGGTGCAGCGGATCGCTAGTGGCCTCGACCTCACGGGATCAGACCCCTCTTCCGTACAGGTAGATTTTTACGTCTACAATAACTTTATTTAAAATCTATTTAGTTTGACTTATTTATTGGCCAAAATAACTTATTTAAAGTTTTAAGTGTTTTTAAAACTTTTTTAGATTGTTTGGTTGCATCTCAAAAGTGCTTATTAAATTTTAAATAAGTTATTTTACTATTTATGAAAGAAGAGTGTTAGAAAATCTTAAGAAACATTATGCATAGACATGCATGCTTAAACAAACATCAACAACATAATTCAGGATCTTGAACATATAATTTCTCACAATCCTTGCAATTAAGAAGTGTACCTGTCACCAATTATTCAGTATTGATCTCCTAGATAAATTGATTTCTCTCTCCTGACCTTCATTTGATGTTACACAAACCTTAGATGGAATCAATTTTCTATTTGTATATGTTTAAGCATATATCTTTTTCCATGCATAACCGTAATAGGCAGAGAGATGACCAATTTATATTTATCTTCCCTAAATCTGGTACGTCCATCAAATAGCCGGATGTACGAACAAGATTTATTTGCGATTAACCTAAAATCGGGCCACTTAATTTTGAATAAAATCTTACATTCTCCCACTTGGTTGGATGATTAAAGACACTAAAAGTTTAATAGCATAAACGTTAAGTGCACATAGAGTAAATAAATCTCTTCTATATTGTCCATCATAATTACTATTCCATAATAAATTACAAAATATGGGTTATGACGGTTGTACACTATTTAGATCGTATACTCCCTTCTATACACCATAGTACCTGCAACTTATTGTAGTTGGTCCATAATTAATATATAAATTTCATCATGGTCCAGAATAATGTATCGTAGAGACTTTCCTATTAACATCAACTCAAAGCAAATTATGTGTACATCATTGAGAAACAAGAAATTCATTAATGTATATCAGAAACACATACATTAATGAGCTCAGAGTGTTATTAACATCATAACCACATCATTTATTAGTTATCACCACAACCAAGACCCATTCTGTGTACATGTTCTTTAAATGTCTTGGGTGGCAAACCTTTAGTCAACAGATCTACAATCATGAGATCTATTCTAATATTCTTAATCGACACTCTTTGTCTATAAACCTCCTCCTTAACGACATAATACTTTAATTCCATATGTTTGGTACCTTTAGAATATTTATCGTTCTTGGAGAAGAATACTACTGCAAGAATTATCACATTAAATTTTCACTGACTTGGTAATGGTGTCGACTACCCCAAGTCCTGAAAAAAAGTTCTGCAGCCATAATGCATGAATTGTGGCCTCAAAACACACCACAAACTTTGCTTCCACAATGGATGAAGCAAGGACAATATATTTGATACTTTTCCATGATATTGCTCCTTCAACCAAAAGGAACAGATAATCAAATGTAGACTTTCAACTGTCAAGGCATCCAACAAGAAACCGAATCTGAGTATCCAATCATGTCTAAGTGGTTGGACTTCCTATACATGAGCATTTATTTCTTTGTTCCTTACAAGTACCTTGAAACTTTCTTTAATTACAGCCTTCCAGTGATCAATTTCTAGAATGCTTTGATACATTAAATTGCCCACAATATAAGCATATGAAATTGATTCCATTTCTTTACGTTTTACATCATTCTTTGGAATTGCATGAGACTAAATTCGTCCTCTTCCTATATGGGAACACCTTATGTTGAACATTTGTCCATATTAAATCTCTAGAGAATTCTTTGATATAACATTTCTGAGACAATTCCAACAATTCATGTGATTTATCACGGAATGTTTCAATTCCTATCACATAGGATGCCTCTCCCATATCTTTCATTTCAAAATTCATTGAGAGAAAATATTTCATCTCATGCAACATACTTAAATCATTAGCAGCAAGTAAAATGTCATCAACATATAGATCTAGTAAAATAAACTTATTCCCACTGACCTTTTGTATATACACCAGTCAACGACGTTTTCTATAAAACCAAATAATGTTATGGTATCATTGAACTTAATATACCACTGTCGGGAAGCTTGTTTAAGTCCTTATATTGACTTTTTAAGCTTACACACATCAGCTTGATCCATATAAATTTCCTCCTCAAGTTATTCATTAAGAAAAGGTATTTTCACATCCATATGATCCATTTGGTGTAACTCTAAATCATAATGAGTCACCATGCCATAATAACCCTTAAAGAGTCCTTATTTGAGACAGACAAAACATCTTTTTATAATCAACACCATCTTTCTGACTGTAACCCTTGGCAATAAGTTTAGTTTTATACCGTTCGACATTGTCATTCGAGTCACACTTGGTCTTGAAGACCCATTTATACTCGACTCTTTACATTCTTCTAACAATTCGACGAGGTTCTAGACTCCATTATGTTCCATGAATTTCAACTCATCTTTCATTGCATCGAACCATTTTTCAGACTCAATACTTTATATGGCTTGTGAGGAAAAAAAAAACTGGATCCTTATTGATTCCAATATCAAAATCTGATTCTTACAAATAAACCACATAATCATCCAGAATAGCCAATCTCTATCTGATCTTCTTTATGGCATTCCCTGTGATTCATTTTAATCAAATCTTTGTGAGTTAGTTTCTGTCGGGAGTGTATCCTCATTCAAAAGTTGTTCAACTTTGTAAGGGCGTTCTTCAACAACCAGAACAAAATTTGAAGTAGTTGTGGAAAAGGAAACATTTATGGGTACAAGAAGATATAGCTTAATTTCCTGTATGTTCACAACTTGTCGTTCATCACTCCCATTAACTTCACCATTTTCAAGAAATCTAGTGTTACCAATCTCTGAAATTCTCGGACTATGGTTTGGACAGCAAAACTTATACCCTTTAGATTTCTCTGGGTAACCAATAAAGTAACTTTTGACTATTCGAGAATCTAATTTCTTTTCATGTGGATTGTAAATTCTCGCTCTGCTTGGCAACCTTCAACATGCAAGTGCCCTAAACTAGGTTTCCTTCCAGTCTACAACTCAAAAGGAGTTTTAAGACTACCTTTTTAAGAACCTTATTCATTAAGTATGCAACAGTTTTAAAAGCATGCATCCACAAGATATAGGTAATGAGGAGTAACTCATCATACTCCTAATTATATTGATTAATGTCCGATTACACCTTTCTGCCACACCATTTTATTGAGGTGTGCTTTGTATAGCATATTGTGTGCATATGCCACGATTTTCGAGGAACTTTGCAAATGGACCTAGACATTGTCTTAAATCAGTATGTTTTCCATAGTATTCACCATCTCTATCAGATCTTACTATTTTCACTTTTGTATCTAATTGTCTTTCAACCTTATTTATGTACACCTCAAGCGCATCCACAGATTGAGATTTTTCATTAAGCAAGTAAATATATCAATAACGAGAAAAATCATTAATAAAACTAATGAAATACTTTTCTCCACTAAAAGATGGAGCATCAAAGGTTCGCATATAATGATGTGTGTATAATTTCAAGACGCTAAGAACTTCTTGCCGCACCTTTCTTAGTATGTTTTGTTTGCTTTTCCATACCAAGATTAGTAAAATCTAAATTTGGCAAAATCTCGTTCTTTAGCAATCTTTGTAGCCCTTCTTTGGATATATGACTAAGGGTGTTCAAAAGAACCAATTGGAATCAGAACCGGCGGATGCCCAGAGTTTGGTACAGTTGTTTAATTTCTGCCATAGGAGACTGAATGCGCGCTGTTTAATTTCTGCCATAGGAGATCTGAATGCGTGCTGTAGTCAACTTGAAGGTGGGACTGTTGATAGTTGGAATTGCATTGCGAGAGTCGAGCTTTACCGATTCTACAATTCTTCAAGTCTATCATTAACATACCCTACTTCTTCCAAAGGTGAGGACAGTAAATCATTCGTTATTAGAATGTCAATGAAATACATGTTTAATCACAACAAATATGAAAACATTGATAATTGTTTCTGAAATAATCAATTGATTCGCTGGGAATAGGCTATGTCCTGTTTTGACTAAAAACAGAACAAATAGGGAACCACAATTTCTGCTGATTTTGAAATATTTGCTTACATATGTTTGTTGTGCTAATTTAGATTTTATTAGGCTTTTATCGTGAATTTTAATTGAACACAATCTTTTTTAATTGAAGCTGTTGGAAAAAGGAAGACTGGGATGCTTGTTGCTGTTACATGCATACCATTTGTGCTAATTGTGTCTTGCGTTGTCTACCGGAAGAGGAAAAAAGCAACACAAAAAGGTGAATTTATCTACAGACTGAATGCATATCAAGATCCCCTACAACTAAGACTTTGAAAGGTTTTGCAGATGAGGAAAAAAGCCTGCAGACCTTGCGGCATGAATTGGCAAGAGTAACATCACTCATGCTTACACAAGAATGCGATATAATAAGTTCTGAAACATCCTCCTTCATGTATCAGCTGGCTACAATAAAGGCAGCTACAAATGATTTTTCTGATTCAAATCAGCTCGGAAAAGGTGGATTTGGCAGTGTCTACAAGGTAAACTACACAGAATGGCTCAACAGTTATTTTTGAAGGCCTGGAAAATTTATATCTCTGGCTTTGGCCGCCTTTCAGGGTGTTTTACCATATGGGAAGGAAGTGGCAGTTAAAAGGCTGTCAGGGAGTTCACGACAAGGTTTAGAAAAGTTCAAGAATGAAATCTTTCTGATTGCCAAGCTTCAACACAGAAACCTTGTAAGACTACTGGGATGTAGCATAGAGGTTGAGGAAAAGCTTCTTATATACGAATTCATGCCCAACAAAAGCCTAGATGTCTTAATCTGTGGTATCTTTTTAATACCATTCTGAATAATATGAACTAACTGTCACTTCAATTTATGTTTCCAATCCTTAATTGATACTAAATTTCAGATTCTGAAAGACGACTAGGAATTGATTGGAAGACGTGCTATAATATTGTCAATGGAATTGCCAGAGGACTACTATAGCTTCATGAAGACTCGCCTTAAAATCATTCACCGGCATCTAAAGCCAAGCAATGTATTATTGGACGAAGAGATGGTAGCCAAAATTTCAGATTTTGGCATGGCAAGGAGTTTTTATGAAAATTAGAAAGCCGCTAACACCAAGCGAGTAGTTGGAACATTGTAAGCTTCTTACTTGAATAGCTTTAGTGTTAAGAAATAAACATTAATGTAACATCTTGTATTACAATTGAAATTCAAACAGTGGATACATGGATCCAGAGTATGCAATGAAGGCATTATTCTCTGGGAAATCCGATGTTTTTAGCTTTGGTGTTATACTACCTGAGATCATAAATGGAAAAAGAAACACTGGATTCCATCTTACAGGAAAAGCTCTCACACTCTTGGCATTTGTAAGCTAAATTATATATATGTGCTAGTTTTAAAATTACTGAATAATGTGAGGGAAATTAATGTTGTTTCATTTTTTACAGGCATGGAAACTGTGGAATGAAGGAAAAGAAATGGAATTTGCAGACTCTGATTTGATGGAATCAGGTTCGATATCAGAAGTAAAGAGATGCATACATATTGGACTACTGTGCGTGCAGGAAGATGTAGAAAACAGACCCACAATGTCAAATGTAGTTGCTCTTTTAAGAAGTGAATCGATGGCTCTTCCTCAACCGAGACAACCTCCAATTTCTCTGGGCAGAATTTTTCCCGATCATCATCACCCTTCAACAATACATCCTTCCCTAAATCACATCTCAATTTCCAGTATATCACCACGCTGAATATTTTCGGGAATTGCATTGTTTGAGCTTTTAATTTACTGTTGAGAATTGAAATTGGTGGGTTTATCCATTAGGGATTAAAGGAGCCCTATTTTTCAATAATTTTTATGATGATAAAATTATATTTATTTTAAATTATTAAAATTAATTTTAATTTCCTATTCTTTACGAATACTTTTGGCACCCCATTGTTTTCTCATCAACTCTAAATTAGCATCACAGATCCAACAGGGTCTGTGTCGTAACGCAATTTCTAGCCAGATTCCGGCGGTGGTGGCCGGAATCTGGCACTGCAGTGGTGGGGGTGTTTTTGTCATTTAACAAACTTTTTATATATGGGGGTGTTTAGTTAAATTAGCAAACCTAGGGGGTTTTTTAAAAATTTTTAAATTTATAAAAAACTAAAATATCAAACTTTTAAGGGCATTTTAGTCTTTTTACTATGAACAAACAGAAATCACTAACAGAACATGACGGAAGCTACTTGTTTGTCGTTTCAAAACTTTTTAGGTACCAACTTGTCGTTTCAGTAAATCTTGGGTATGCGTAAGTCGTTCGGCCGTACAACAATTAATAAGACTCGTATGAGACTTATATAAAATCTAACCATTTATAATTAGACAATTCACAATTAATTAATAAGACTTATACGAGACTTATATAAAATCTGTTGTGAACTGATCAATTATAAACTGTCATATTAAGGTTATAAAAAAATATATATATATTTGTAAAAGAATATAGATATAATATTATTCAAGGTTAAATCTTGGTTTTACCTTAATTATTTGCATATGTAATAATGTAACAGTGATTAATGAATTACCATTAATTTTTACGAAGGAATCATTTTATATATGTATAAAGCTAAATAGACATAATTAAAAACATCTTTAAATGATTTTTTATATGATTTAATCTCTTTATTATAAAAAGTTTGTCCATAAAAATAAGAGTCCAATAAATTCTTTATTTTTTAAATATAAATTAAATAGTGAGTTTGACTCTCTATATCTAAAAAGTCAAATCTCACTCTCTATTCTAATTTTATTTAATAAATTATTAATTTTATATAATTATTATTAATTTTCTCTCATATTAAATTTTCTTCTTATTTATTAAATCTAATTTAAATAATTTATAAGATTTGAATATAAATTTTATTTTTTATATACAAAATAAAATTTATATTCACTTGAAATATACTCTTTAAACTAAAGAGCATTATTGAATGAGGTCTAAACAACGACGTTCTGACAATAAGTACTCATGGTGAAGTGATGTCTAATATGAGGATTAAAGGTGTGGACCAGGCTGGGCCACATAGGCTAAGCCTACCTGCAAGCCCACGTGGACCATTTCATAGGCTAGGCTAGGCCTGGGCTAATGACTACTATCTTCATCATTTGTAAGATAATCCAATATATACCCAGGCCCGGCTTAACTGCCCCCCAAAAAAGGGGTTAAAAAAAAAAAAAATCCTAAAATTATTTTTTTAAATATTTTTAATATATTTATAATTTTTTAATTCTCATCAATCCCATCATATATTAGCCTATACCTATCTTTATCCAAAATTATTTTTTTAAGAGTTTTTTAACGTATTAATAATTTCTCAATTCTCATCAATCATATCATATATCTAATCAATCATGTGTATCTTTAAACTTAAAACATAATTGCCAGCTTATTTTTCCTTTGAAAATTGAAACACCTTCGCGCAACTCTTCAACTCTCAAATATCAAATCACATCTCCTCTCTCTCCCAAATCTCTTATATAAATCTCATTTTACTTAAAATTTTCTCATCTTTTGCTCTTATTATTCTCAACTCCGTTTACTCTCTTGTCTCTCCTTTCTCGTCTCTTGTCTCTCACTTCTCATCTTTATTACGAAAATTTATCAAGTGAATATGATTTACATTATTATTATTTTTATGCAAGGTAATATTAAAAGCTTTAAATCATTTTACTCTTACAATTCTCAACTGATTTTACTTTATATTTGATCAAGTGAATAACTGATTTACATTATTATTTTTATGCAGGGTAATAATATAAGATTTTTTAGTATCAGCACAACAAAAAGCAAAATCATGAGTATAAATCAGGTGCTAAAGTTTCTTCTTAATTTTTATAATTATTTTTATTTTAACAAAATAATATTAAGAGCTCTAAATTATTTATTCTTTAAATATAGATGTCTACTAGGAAGTGTGAATCTGGATTTGAAAAACATAAGAAAAAAAAAGAATAGAAGAACTAATTCAATCCCAAAAAGATGCACTTGATAAATTTGTTATTAATACAAAACACCAAATACTAGAAAAACCAAATGAAGATTTAAATGAAAAATCAATTGAAAATTGTGAAGAAATTTTTAAAGATAACAATTCAAATTCATCAAATACTAGTGAAGAGTCTCATGAAAATTTAGAAGAAGAAATTCCATTCGACAAAAATAAAAATATTAATGATAAAGATGAAACAACTATTAAAAATATTTATGACCCGGTACACTGGAATAATTTAGCCACAAACTTATGTGATTTATTAGTTGAGAAAGGTCCAATTAGACAAGTTTTAGATTTTCCAAGAGATGAAAATTCTAGACGTTTTTCTACAATTCATTACATTCGAAAATTACCAAATTGAGAAAAACATGATAGAAAATGACTAATATATTCAAAATAATTAAATAAAGTATTTTGTTTTTCTTGTAAATTATTTAGTTTAAAAGCAAATACAATTCAATTAGCAAATGAAGGGTGTGGAGATTGGAAAAATCTTAGTGCCAAACTTAAAAGTCACAAAACAAGCAATGAACATGCTATAAATATGAACATTTAGGTTGATGTTGAGATGAGATTGCTTAAAAACAAAAGAATTGATAAATATTTACAAGAGAAAATAAATAAAGAGAAAGAGCATTGGAAGAATGTACTATTAAAATTATAGCGGATGTAAAAAATCTTTCAAAAAATAATTTGGCATTTCGTGGTACAAATGAGAAGATTTATCAAGAAAATAATGGAAATTTTTTGAGTTTAATTGAAATGATTGCTGAGTTTGATCCAATAATGCAATGTATTCAAAATTGAGAAATTCATACTCATTATCTTGGTCATAATATATAAAATGAGTTGATAAATATTTTAGCATCAGAAATCAGAAATACCATTATTAAATAAATTAAAGAGTCAAAATATTTTTCAGTTATACTTGATTGTACCCCAGATACAAGTCATCAAGAACAAATGTCACTTATATTAAGATGTGTAGGTATTTCAATAAGTTCAATAAAAATAGAAGAATACTTTATAAATTTTTTAAAAGTGGATGATACTTCTTATCAAGGCCTTTTTAAAAGTGGCAAATGAATATGGAACCAAAATTTCATGAAAAACGTATAATAAAGAAAAAAAAAAAAAATTTGATGAGAATGAAAACGAAGAGATGAAATTGTCTGCTGAAAAATCTTTTAGAATAAATTATTTCATATATTTAGTTGATCATGTCATTTTCTCACTTCAAAGTAGGCTTGAACAATTTGAAATATATAGTAATAATTTTGGTTTCATTTATAATATAGAAAAGTTAAAATTGTTTGATGATGATAGTTTGTAGAAACATTGTTTAAATCTTGAAAACTTTTTAAAACACGACATGGTCTCTGATATTGATAGTTTAGATTTATATTCAGAATTAAAAGTTTTAAAATAAATTATAAACGTGGAAATTAAAACACCACTTGAGATATTAGATTTTATAAAAAAGTTGAATTCTTTTCCAAATGTATGGATAACTTATAGAATACTATTAACTATTCATGTTACTGTAACTTCGACAAAAAGAAGTTTTTAAAAATTAAAGTTAATAAAATCTTATTTGCGTTTAACTATGTCATAAGAAAGATTAGGTAATTTGGCTATATTATTAATTGAAAAAGATTTGGTTTCTAAACTTGAATATAAAAAATTAATTAATGATTTTGCATCTCAAAAGACAAGAAAAATAAATTTGAAATAATTTTTTAATATATGCTTATATTATTAGAAGGCCCTTAAAGTAATTCTTGCATAGGATCACAAATGTTCGGTCTTGCTCCTTCTAAAATTAGAGTAATTTACATTTTTATCTCCTTATTTTTATTTCTCAATTCTCATTCTAACCTCAAACCTTCTAAATTTTTGTTCTTCTACTAAAAACTTGGAAGCTAGTATTTGCTCGCAAGAAGCGGCTGTCCATGTGGGCCTTTTCATAGGCTAGGACGGGCCTGGCCTGATGACTATTATCCTAAATCCATTTTTTATTTTAAATTTTATTTGTAGATGATAAGTGTAAATTTTTAGATATGTACCATACAAAAGTATTTAATATATAGCATAACAGATTTATGTGTATCCGTACAGTTAGTCAGTGAGTCAACTATAATTTGTACGTTCTCCAAATAATAATACCCAAAATTACTTTTATAAAACTGTAAATTATAAACCACACAAAACTATTCTGTATATCCATCCAACGATGTCACGGTCATTGTCCACACTATAATTTGACATGTAAATATATTCATCCCACCAAAAAACACGAGTTTACGGTTTCACTGCTGGACTACCGAGTCCATGTCCAACACCGATTCATTCAACCCGTTAATGTAGGTAAAAACTCACGCTTCATACGAATCTCAATTCCAATTCAAAGCCTAACCCAATTTAGAATACGCACCTAAACTCCCGGTTTAGCGCGTGCGTGTGACCACCAGTACCACTTACCAGTCCTTGTTTGCAGATTCTGATCCCCTCTTTACACTCTTCTTCTCCCACATATATAAGCTTCGGTTGACACTTAGATCCTTCTCTTTTTATTTTCCAAGGAATCGAACCGATAAACGAACCAACCCATCATCACTCTTCTGAGCTAAAGGTTTGTTTTTGACGGATCTCTGTGTCTTTTTGTTGTAAATTTTATGTGGGTTCTTTTGTTTGTTTGTTTTTGCATGTGGGTTTGTGAGGATTTGTGTGGTTGTGTAATTGACTTGGGTAATTTGAGTTATTGAAGAGAATTATTTATTGGGTTCTGGCGATTGTAATTTCAATTTGCATTGGTTTTTGTTTGTTTAATTGCTGAAAATTTGTTGTTTGGAGAGATGGGTTTCTTGTTTTTATGGTGAAATGATTATTAGGGCTTGAGTTTGAAGGTGTCAGTCAATATTAGGGATTACTTGGTTGAGAGTTGCAATTTTTAACACCTAGATGTATTAAAAGTTGAATCTTTTATCACAAGTATAAAACTATGCTTCCTTTTAATGCGTTAGATTTGAGTTTTAGAAAGCAAAAGAACAGTTGATTACTATTGTTATCATCATCATCATCTTTTGTTTTTTGATCTTAAGGGCGGGTAAATTGTCAAGTTTTTTGACATTCCTCTTTGGGGTACCTTTTTTTTTTTCTATTTATTTTTAATTTATTACATTTTTCGCCCCACGTATAAAGATTGGTCTTGTCAAATTTTTCGTGTTGCTTGTGAATATAGCTGGGAAGTTTATCTTGGAATGTTATAGTTTTCAAGCAGTTAGTCCTCCATTTTCTTGATCATGTGCGACGTCTAAAAGTATTTATGTTAAATAAGTCAGTTGATGTGAAACATCAAATGGGGTTGCTGGTTTAAAATTTTTCAAACAATTATATTTGAAGTGGGCTGCCGAGGATTCATTACTCATTAGCTTAGTGTAATGGACAAATATCACTTTCTTTTCATCACGGTATGGCAAAGAGGGTTAGTTCGTTTACTAATATCTAGCAATCTCAAGTTTTAGAAATGGAGGTAGTAGGATCATAAGGATGCTTGGCTTTGAGTGAATAAGATAAATCCCTTCCATTATGATGTTTCTTTTAAGAAATGAGAAATAATATAGCTGTGATTTTAATTTCTTTAAAATAGAGTTTCCTGGATTTCGTGTGTTGCAAGCTTAAGGTTATTCTTAAATATAGATTTCATGGACTGTTTGTTGATATAAGAATATGAGTAGCTAGTTTATTCTGTAGCTCCCACAGAAGATATTCTTCTTGAAACTATGAGGTCAACTTTTCAATAAAGGATAGTTTGGTTTTTATGACATGAAATTGTTTTCACTGTTGATGGAATCAATGTTGTCAAGTTGAGAATCCAGTTTTTCTTGCCCTGTTGGAAGCGAAGATCAGTTCAAAATCTAGTCCATTCCTTTGGTATGATCTTCAAAATCTAGTCCATTCCTTTGGTAAGGTGTAGGTTATTCTTGCTATCCCTCTTGACGAGATAGATTTTTTTTCCCTTCTGTGCGAATGATTACACATTTATATGATCCACTCAAGTGTTTTGGCCCATGGAGTTTATATAATTGGAAGCAGAAAGGGGCCAAAGAAAAGGTTAACAAGCAAGGTGGTGCTGGAGTGCCGGTAACACTGCGTTGTAGTTTCAAACTTAAGAATTAATGAAATCAATGCCTAGCATAAAAATGAGAGGAAAAGTTTGCAGTAATCCTTTCTAAGGCTGATTGTGTATGGAGGTTTGTCTGAAAATTTCAAATGAAGAATGTCCCATTTTATTGAACTTCCTGTTAGAAAATAAAACATTCTCTAGTTTCTGTTCTTAAATTAATGTTGAAAGTCTTGTCGCAGCCTTCATGCATAGATGTTGGCCGAAATTTTTAAAGGAAAATGATATTAAAAAAAAAAAGTAAGATCAAAGTTCAGGTGTATATGGACAAGCAGTCATTATTAACTTAATCTATTCTTGGTTGATTCTCGGATATGGGTTGAGCACTGCAGTGGAAGTCGAAAGCATTGATTTTGTGTGTGTTAGAGAGAAATGGGTTGGCCGAAGTTCCAGAATATGAGTAGCATTAATAACTTTTAACTGTGGTCATGCATGCACTCACTATGCCCATTTAGATTTATCATTTCACCATTTACTTTTGAACTGTATTGTAGTATTGCTTGTAAGAGCCTCAAATTGATAGTTTTGATTGGCATAGCAACATCATGTTTGTTAAGTTTCTCATGATTCCAGTAAAGGCTATAGTGAACTGTGGTAATGCGTGCTTTGCCTAGAACATTTAGATATATCATTTCACCATTTTATTTTGAACTGTGTTATTACATTGCTTGTCAGTCTCAGAAAGATAGTTATATTTGCATTCGGCAGACAAATTCAATTACTATGTTACAAATGATCCCTCTAAGATTTTTTTTGAAATATTTATATAAAAAACAATGAATACAGAAAAATCATGTGATATAAAATGTGAAGTTATTAGTTTTTCTTGAATCACAGTGACTTGAAAAGGCATCAATGAATACAAAAAATCATGTGATATAGACTTGTGGCAAACATTTTCTTAGTTTTTTCGTGTTGCCAAAGTAGTCTAAGTTGTGCACTACAAAACTGTGAACACCACTTTCCATCACAAATCTTTATTGATTTCTTTACATCGGATAATATGCATATATTATCATTCTGGTACTGACGTTAGCCTTTGTTTGATCGTGTCATCTATGTTTTGCAGGAAAAGTTACCTGCTATATTTATTAGACTCCTCGGAGACTAAGAATGAGTCTAGCATGTCTGGTTTGCCATAGCGTCGAAAGTCCATCACACTCATTCAGGAGTTACTCTGTTTCAAGTTCGGAGAACGAAGGGAGATGTTCTGCCATAGCTAACTGCTTAGCCAGGAAAGCTCTTCCAGCGCCAAGATCAGCTTCTTCAATAGGGTCCACATCCAAAGTCACCCCACAACCTTGTTTTCAAGGTGGCATGGGAATGGAAGGCACTCCACGGTTAGTCCGGAGTCGTGCCGTGAGAAGGGACCTTGTTCGAGACTGGAATTTCGATGAGGTGGCAATGGATCGTTAGTTCTTTTCTTTTTCTTTTTACTTTTTTTTTTTTTTTTTGTTTTTTTAAATCCGAGATATAAGAGAAGAGGACTCTCTTCTTTTAATCTTGGGATAGTATTAGAGCTTTTGTATTTGATTTTCTATTTTAGAATTTGTAATGGGTGCAATTGAATTCACTTTTCTTCAAGAAGAGTTTGAGCATTTGTATCTATTTGATAAAATTTGAATGTGAAACAATGTTCATATTGTATCCATTTTTTTGCATCATTTGAATCAACCAAGTGTTGGATTCAGTGGATCGAACTTTAATAACGGTCATTTTTTACAAATTTTAAGAGTAATTCATTAATTTTTATTTTTATTTAAATAATGTAATGATGTACCAAATATCATATTATAGAATATATTAATATATGATATTATTTATTATACTACTATACAGTTATTTGAATGAAAAAGAATAATACTTTCATGCAAAATAACTCATGTAAATTAATAAAATCGGTAAAAACAAAGAACAAATTAAACAAATGAATGACATGATAATTGTATTATGAATTATGATATTGCAACACTAGTTTATATTTTTATTCAGAAAAAAAAAAAGATATATACTATTTTTTTCACTATAGTGTTCTACCATTTAATTCTAACCATAGTTGAATGTTGTAATAATTCAAATTATCAATTATAATGTTATATTTTCATGCCAATATCTTTATTTTATTTTTGAAAAGTGTAATAATTTAATTATTAACAGCAAGACAAAAATTATATCATACTTATATTCAGAAGCTTACTTTCTACAATTTTTGGAACCAAAGTAAAATTGTTAACTATCACATTAAGGCCGAAATTAAATCAATTTTTTTTTTTAAATAAGTGATTTGTGTCGAATTTAAATCTAATCAAGGACAGATACTTCAAAAAATAGTAATAAGTCCTCAACGATGAAGAGCATTAAACACTGAAAACAGAGTCCGGAGCTTGAAGACAAACCAACCAAAATGTTTGCAAAATCACCCCCAAACTTATCGTCTTCCTCAATCCCCTGTATCTTCCTTTCCTTCACTCTCCTCTCAATCCTCTCACTCGCCTTCTTCTTCGTCGCGAACTATCCCAAACCCACTTGCGAACTCTCTCAACTCAACACCTCTCCGCAATCCTCCATCAAAGTCTTCGTCGCCGACCTCCCCAGATCCTTCAACTACGACCTTCTCAACCAATACTGGGCCGCCACGTCACCCGACTCCCGTCTCCCGGTCGACCCAGATCACCAGATCCACCATGACCGCCTCAAGTTCCCGCCTTTTCCCGAAAACCCGTTGATTAAACAGTACAGCGCGGAGTATTGGATCTTTGTCGACCTGGAGAGTCCGGAGAACGTGAGGGGGAACTCGTTTGCGAAGAGGGTTTTGAGGCTTGAGGAGGCTGATGTCGTTTTTGTGCCCTTTTACGCCACGTTGAGTGCGGAGATGGAGCTAGGGAAGGAAAGGAGTTCGTTTAGGAAGAAGAGTGTGGAGAATGAAGATTATAAGAGGCAGAAGGAGGTTGTTGAGATTGTGAAAAAGTCTGAGGCTTGGAGGAGGTCGGGTGGTAGAGATCATGTGTTTGTTCTTACTGGTAAGTTCAATTTTGGTTTTTGATGAAATTTAGATTCTTTTTCGTTGGAATTTTGAAAGTTGTGGGAAAATTTTAGCTGAATCCTCTGTTTAATGCTTGTTATACGGATTTATGGTTGAAATATTGGATTGTAATTTCAGTCTTAGTGAATAAGTAGTTGGGAAGAATCTTTGAGTTTGTAAATTGTTTAGAAAGTTATTGGATTTCTGAAAATGATGGGCAACTTTGAGCTAAATTTGTTGGAGAATTAGTTAGAAACTACAAGATTTTAATGCTTATTAAAGAATTTTATGGATCAAATACACCAGCATAGTTTAATGTTTTACCTAATTGATGAGAAACCTCGAAGACTGTGATTGTTGAGATCGTAACTATAGGGTGATAATTACAAAACCTAGTTAAAATTTGTTAGGAATATCCAGGATTATTGATTTTTTTCTGGGACTTCGTCTGCATGGAGATACTGAAAATTGTTCTTGGACTTTCATAGAATTCACACATAATGGGAGTATACTGAGGGATTTGTAAACTTGTAAATTGTGTCTATGTTTTAGTTAAACTTGAAGGGATTTCAATAGAATTATGGTTATGCTTATGGTTGTGATAATGGTGTGGTGAACAAGGTCGTGCTTTGGTATTCTGCAGCTTATGATTCAAGCATTGTTTGGCAGACCCAGTTGCAATGTGGCATGTTCGAGCTGAGATAGCCCCAGCTATTCTGCTGGTGGTAGATTTTGGTGGTTGGTACAGACTTGACTCAAAGTCATCCAATGGTAGCTCGTCCGAGATGATACAACATACACAAGTTTCTTTGCTTAAAGATGTCATTGTCCCATACACGCATTTGCTTCCTAGATTGCGCTTGTCAGAAAATAAGAAACGCCGTAACTTTCTTTATTTTAAAGGGGCTAAACATAGGCATCGGGTCAGTCTCTACTTCATTCATATATATTTCATATTTTTTCTGATAGCTTATAAAAATAAGTCTTTACTGTTCTAAGATTTAAGATAATATGCAAGAATCTTATTCTGGCTCATGTTCTTAGATCAATCAGATGTGTATTGTATTTACAGGGAGGCTTAGTTCGGGAAAAGCTATGGGACTTGTTGGTTAATGAGCCTGGAGTTGTCATGGAAGAGGGCTTCCCTAATGCCACAGGGAAGGAACAATCAATTAAAGGGATGAGATCATCTGAATTCTGTTTACACCCAGCTGGGGATACCCCCACTTCATGCCGGCTTTTTGATGCCATCCAAAGTCTTTGTATACCTGTCATTGTCAGCGATACCATTGAGCTTCCATTTGAAGGGATGGTGGACTATTCAGAATTCTCTGTTTTTGTGGCAGTTGATGATGCATTGAGACCAAATTGGCTTCTGGGTCATCTTAGAAGTTTTTCCCAGAAGCAGAGAGATAACTTCCGTCACAAAATGGCTGAAATTCAATCAATTTTTGTCTATGATAATGGTCATCCTGGTGGTATTGGGTCAATTCCCCCAGATGGTGCAGTAAATCATATTTGGAAAAAGGTTCACCAAAAGGTGCCCATGATTAAGGAAGCCATTGTTCGAGGTAGGAGAAAACCGCCAGGTGTGTCCAGTCCTTTACGTTGCCACTGTACGTAAATGTATTCATGTTTCACAAGTGGTATGATTGTTTTGACGCCAAAGTACCGTTCGCATTGACCAATTATTCAAGTTGCTGAACCTTATGTGCCGTTACACAGAACAATTTAATTCAATAGTATTTTTTTATGTGCAATTGAAACATTGTTTACTTACATTCCCATGCTTATACAGTTTGAAATAGAATTCAAACTTCTCTTAAAAAAAAAAAAAAATGAAATTCCTTGAATAATTCAGTTTAATTAGTATTGATACTCATTGACTATCCTGTTTCGACAGACAGAGGAAAGCTGGGGTTTTACATTTCATTTAGATAATTTTTCATCTTCAATAAATTGTGTAAAACAACAAAATCCTTCTTACCGTCTACTATACAAAGCCTTTCTTTGCAGCAACAAAGGGTATCCAATTCCCCTTCTCCTGGAAGGGAATACCACAAACAAAACACTAATCACAAACCCAACAATTAAAGGAACACTGTTGGTGATCTTCCTGGGCAATGCTGGATAATAGCATGCCACAACATCACTCTGTGATCCTGCAAAAGTAAGAAATGCAACCAATGAAAGTGAAGCATGGAAGAGATCAGCCCATCTCAGCCTATAATCAGATGGCACAAGTGGTTTCTTCCTGCCTCCATTGAAAGTCCATATCCCTCTGAATGTGGCCACCCCATAGTACAACCTTCCTGTGGCTGTTCGGAAGCTATCGGTGATTGTGAAAAATATGCAAGAGGCAGCCAGAAAAGTGATGAAGTAACCCGTCGACCAGCAGCTGAAACTGGTGCATTTGCCATCATTGGTTAGGAGAGGAGCAAGTATGGTGAAGGCAAGAATGGTAGCTGTGGGTAAGAGAACATTGAGACGTGCAGTCCCACTCAGGATAGCATTCATGACATATATATACTGAGATTCGTCATCATCATCATCATCTTGAAGGCAGTAATAATCATGGTCGCGTTCGCCGCTCTCATTGAGTTCTTGGTTGACGGAGTTATCCATCTCTGAACAAACTTTGTTTGGGGGTGTTAATGCAGTTATCATTTGAATAAAAAGATTGAAAAGTTCATAAAAATTATGAGTACATAAAGGGGGAGGGGATTCTTTGTTTTGGTGAGGAGGACAAGCAACTTATGTTCTGTTCCAATGTTTTACATACCATGTTTCATTGGCATTTGTTTCTGGTTCAAGAAAAGCGTTTCCTTTTACAAATATTCTTTAATCTTTATGGCTAGAGATTGAAAGATGCCCAAATTCAAGACACATTAAGCTTGAAAGATGAGCTCTTCTGGCTATCCTCCAGTTGAAAGCTTTGCTTATATATTCAGACTAAATGTTCAAATGGTATTTTAGAAGTATGACTGAATCTATATCATTAATATGATTGTACTAAAGCTTGACCAAAACTTGGATTTCTGCAGAGAAAAGAAAGTCATGAAACCACAATTAACTAACTTCGATGTTGCAGCAATGTTGCATCATTGTTGCAGAATTGTCCCACGACACTATTTCTCTGAAGAGCTCTTGTAAATTGGAGGACTGCTAATAGCAGCAAATTAAGCCATCTTTTGTAATTGTAATTTTTGTTGCCAAATCTTGAAAATAAAAACGTCTTATATTACTGATCCTGTTTATGCAGTTTTACTCTGTGTGGGATCGAATTTCAACTCTTCCAATTTCAGTTAATATTGAATAAACACCATTCTCCAAACAGAAATCCAAGTTCACAAGTTCATATTTCAAGGGGAAAAATTCCAATAGTAACAGGGAACAAGAATAGCATCGAAAATAACACAAACTAGAAAATCTTCATGGAATATGGCTGCAACTTTTCATTGATTCAAAGTAATCAGTGTCTTTCAAACACACGCGCTCTACATTTTCTCGATGGACTTTACAAAAATAGAAATCTATATTAGGCTGGACATGACAGAACTATAGATATAAGACTAACCCTGGAAATTTGCTAAAAATTGCAGAATGACAGGGTGGGGAATATAAATTTTGACAATAAACTATTTACAGTAATTTACTGGCTGTAAAATCGATGAAGTAAATAAATAAATGTAGAAACATGATACAAAAGATACCGGAAGGAAAATCTTTTTGGCTCCTTTCCTTTTAGGACTTACTGAGGAGAATGATCATCATCGGTGCCGCAGAGTTTACACGGGTCACGTGATTCTTCCGAGCACCAATGGTCTGGTACGCTAAGGAAGTGTGTTGACATGAATTTTCTGAATCTCTTCTTGTACTCTATCGGAGAAATAACAGTAGGCAGCACATTTTTAGGAACAAGAGAAGACTTGACCCACGTTTCTAAGTGCTTGTCCCAGGTATACTGCCTAAGATAATCAATGATACCGCATACAAGCTCTTGGCGCTCGGTATCTACCCCCACAAGTAAAGAATAATCCATCACATCTATCGACTGTAAAACAAAAGCAAATCAGTGAATTACCGGCCTATCTTAACAGGAAAATAATGTGAGATATTGCGGTTGATCAGGACAATATTACCAGTAGCCAATTAATCCCAGGAAATATATAGCAGAAACGATAAAAGACCAAAAAAAAAAACAAGGATCAGGAGAGAGAGAAATGCTTCCTCATTATTTTTTATGACACAAGCATGTGGCAATTATATCATCATAATGTTTACTGTATTTTAAACTAAAATGTCAGATTATATAATGCCTTAATTGAAAGAGTAAGATCCCATGACTAAGGAATTATACCAGATAAAAAGTTGTCATGGTGTATGTTTCATTCATTCAAACTAATTTTTCACTTACATTGAGGAAAGTTGTGTCATTCCATACAGCTCGTTGCAAGATACGCTTCGCTTTATTACTAACATATAATGGGGATGAATTCATGTCATTGACAAAATTCTGATCCAAAAGAACATTCCCTGAACCATCAACAACTGAATTATATCGAGCATGTAAAGCCCCTTTCAGATCATACTGGCGAGTAATGTTTCGACCGAAGGTAAGATTCTCCATAACCATCAGATCATGTCTCAGCTCCTTCCCACTTTTTGTCTGTCTTACAGTTACCTGGAAAGACACCAAGCATTTAGAAGAAGGATCAAAGAAATATAAACATCAAAAGGAACCCGCCCCCAGAGAAAGAAAACATCAATTTGACAAACCTGATAAATACCAAGAACTTTTGCCAGGCAAGTTTGGTTTCCTAAATCAAACGACTCATTCATGTACTTGAAATAGTGCATGGCAAACTTGTCAAATGAATCAAATTCAGTCTTCTTAATTTCCTTAATAATGAACCTGTCATCAAGTGTTTTTGCAAAGAAGGATTTGCTCTTCCCACCTTTGGCATCCCAGTTTTTACAACGGCTGAGGGAATCGATATAATCAAACTCAGATGGGCAGCATCGACTCCGCAGATCACGGAACTGGTTTGCATATAGACACTTGACAGAGTATTTACCCTTTCCAAGTGTTTTTGAAACCCCAAGAGAAACCTCTGGGCTAAGGACTTCAGGAGGAATCAAAGATTCCAACAAATTCAATCCATCAAAACTCGAGAAGCGTGAATCATCAGAAGAAATACTTAGTGCAGAGTGGACTGAATCTGAATCTGTAGACCCATTGATAGACCACTGTGGGCATTTTATGGTGGGAATTCGAGTCAGGCTATGTAAGCGTTCAGTTGTTTTGACAGCCACTTCACTATATTTCCTATTATCTGCATCTATTAACACCGTTGATACAGGTAGATCTTTCAACAAGGACAGTGCACAAGCAATTATGCTAGAGAGTTCACCCTCATAGTCTGACACCATATAATTATCGGTTCCCAGAGGGATGTGCAGCCTTGAGCCTTCCTCAGTTATTAGTTGATGGACAGCAGGCAAGTTTTCAACAGTGTATCTACTGACAGGTTCAAACTTTGGCACATAGCCCTTCTGAAGATCTCTCATGTATATCTGTCGGAGTTCTGAAAATGGCATCCAGAACCATCCATTCACTTTTTCTAAGTCAGATAACCCCTCTGAGATACTATTCTCAGATGTATTTGAATCAATTGTAGAATGGTCATTTGCAGTATCTGCACAATTTCGAATGGTTCCATCCCCTTGCAAGTTTTCAGGCAAAGGAACTTTCTCTGCTTGAAAACCATTATCACCTGAATGATTTTGGGTAGAACCATTATTTCTCACAGTAAAGTCATCACTGGTCAAACTGTTATGTCTTAAACAACCAACAGCTGGTGCCCCAAAAACCTCTGACACAATAGGTGTCTTCTTATACATATCCTCCTGTTCTTCAGATACTGTCACAGGACCATCAATTGGAATTTCCTTGATTACATCTTCGTTTGCTTCAGCTGATAAATCCAATTTATCTTTCAAACTGCCACAACCATTGGAAAACTTGTCACCATTTCCAGCATCGTTTTCTGATTCCTCATTTCCTACAGTAGGTCCCTCCATCTTTGATTTTGATTGCTCTTGTACCACTTTCTCAGTGGCACCAGTAGTAATGACCACTGTAGGATCAGGCAAGATCAGTGAGTGTAGACGCCTATCCCAAATGCATGATTCAAGCAAAATCTCCCACCGTAATCTGTTCAAACTGAGTAGTTTATGGACAGTTTCATCTGGATTCCCATTCTTAGCAACAGCATTTTGAATATCCGCCTGTCATCATTTTTTCCGACAAAAACCAAACCAAAGAGCAAAACCATTTTAGTTTTTGTATTAAGGAAGAAAAGGACAAATTCCTCAAAGTAATCAATCCCCAGGTTTTATCTGCACAGCAGTCCTTTCTTTAATTTTTTTCCTTTTTTGTGAAAATAGATGCATAGAATCAGGATTAATTCCATTACAAGGTTTCTAAATGACCATGTTTGACCCATATTAATATCATGTAATCAAAATGAATCCTACAAAAACAATGCTCATGATAAATGGATCAATAAAATGAAAAGATAAAGGCGCTTTCAAAGACATCTGGCGCTCGGTATCTACCCCCACAAGTAAAGAATAATCCATCACATCTATCGACTGTAAAACAAAAGCAAATCAGTGAATTACCGGCCTATCTTAACAGGAAAATAATGTGAGATATTGCGGTTGATCAGGACAATATTACCAGTAGCCAATTAATCCCAGGAAATATATAGCAGAAACGATAAAAGACCAAAAAAAAAAACAAGGATCAGGAGAGAGAGAAATGCTTCCTCATTATTTTTAATGACACAAGCATGTGGCAATTATATCATCATAATGTTTACTGTATTTTAAACTAAAATGTCAGATTATATAATGCCTTAATTGAAAGAGTAAGATCCCATGACTAAGGAATTATACCAGATAAAAAGTTGTCATGGTGTATGTTTCATTCATTCAAACTAATTTTTCACTTACATTGAGGAAAGTTGTGTCATTCCATACAGCTCGTTGCAAGATACGCTTCGCTTTATTACTAACATATAATGGGGATGAATTCATGTCATTGACAAAATTCTGATCCAAAAGAACATTCCCTGAACCATCAACAACTGAATTATATCGAGCATGTAAAGCCCCTTTCAGATCATACTGGCGAGTAATGTTTCGACCGAAGGTAAGATTCTCCATAACCATCAGATCATGTCTCAGCTCCTTCCCACTTTTTGTCTGTCTTACAGTTACCTGGAAAGACACCAAGCATTTAGAAGAAGGATCAAAGAAATATAAACATCAAAAGGAACCCGCCCCCAGAGAAAGAAAACATCAATTTGACAAACCTGATAAATACCAAGAACTTTTGCCAGGCAAGTTTGGTTTCCTAAATCAAACGACTCATTCATGTACTTGAAATAGTGCATGGCAAACTTGTCAAATGAATCAAATTCAGTCTTCTTAATTTCCTTAATAATGAACCTGTCATCAAGTGTTTTTGCAAAGAAGGATTTGCTCTTCCCACCTTTGGCATCCCAGTTTTTACAACGGCTGAGGGAATCGATATAATCAAACTCAGATGGGCAGCA